CGGCACGGTTAACGCCCACTGACTACCACACACTACAAATCATGGCTACTCGCTCTTATAAAAAGTATAGGATGTATGCCGTTGGCGGCGGCGTTTTGTGGTTGTACTCGGTGGCCCATGTGCGGCGACTCTTATAGTACTACTCTGCCCGTCTGTCAGTGGAACCCAACATCAATAATTATTAAGGTAAACAATTAACATTTAAATAAAAAAATACTAGAAAATATTCCACGTGGACCAAGCAGAAGACGTGACTCGAACCCGCACCCTCCTCCATCCGGGTGAATGCACTGACCATTATGCTACCGTTTTACTATGAAAAAATCAACTAAGTCTTTGTTCTCTACTCTCATATTTTTATGTTAAAACAAATAGGATAAGTTTTTTACTCAGTTTTAATTACGCAAAAATCAACAAACTCTCATATATGATAGTATGTTGCAAGAATGTCTATCACTTATTTGAACAAGATAAACTTGAATGACAATTAGAGTTACACTAAATACTATAAAAATTGTATTATAATTTTAGAAAAGTATTGGAAAATATTTTACATTTTTTCTTATCTCGCTGGTAAATATCTTTTAACCAAAAAAGACGTTATTATAAGTAATTAAAACACAAAATATTATAAATCTTCTCTTTATAAACTAACAGAACTATCTTTGGCGCAAACATAAAAAAAATAAAAGTAAAAAATAAAGTTTTACTTCTTAACTATGAAAAAACCAACTAAGTCTTTGTTCTCTTCTCTCATATTTTTAAAACAAATAGGATAATTTTTTAACTCAGTTTTAATTATACAAAAATCAACAAACTCTCATATATGATAGTATGTTGCAAGAATGTCTATCACTTATTTGAACAAGATAAACTTGAATGGCATTTGGAGTTACACAAGTCCAAGGACGCGCGGCGGGCGGAGGATTGCGCGCGGGACGGTCGCGACGCCAACTCCTTCCCCGCGTTTATACCGAGCTGCCAACTTGACGAACTCTTTAGTGTCTACTTACTGTAGTTTTTACTACAGAGGGACTCTCCACATTAAAAGACGAAATTTCATTTCAGTTCATAATATAATTCAACACAATTACGAGTATAAATCTTGTTTCGAACTGGCATAGTTTATGGCTTGTCTAGGATAAGATATCTTATCTACCGGGGTTTTGATACAAAATCGAATCAATCAGGAAACGCAAGATACGAATCTCAAAATAAAACCAAAATCCTTAAGTGAACTGAAAACCTAGTTCTAGCCGATAATAAATAGGATACACCTAAGTTTAACCACCGATGTGCGGCTGTACCTAGTTCTAGCCGCTATAATGAAGGCTAAACCTAGTTGTAACCGAAGATAAGTAGGAAACACCTAAGTTTACCGCATGTGGCGGGCTGCACCTAGTTGTGGCCGGCTAAAACTAGGTGTAGCCGCACTTCGGCTATTAGCCGTAACATATATATAAAAATCAATTGCTGTTCTTTTGTCTCGCTAAAACTCGAGATATAGATGATTTTTGAAATGTTAGTATAGTCCAAGGAAGATTTAAGCGGTGAATATAAATATGGATAACGTGCCGCCGCGCCGGTAAGATAGTAAAAACAACAATTTCATTTTTCCATATAAACTGTTGTACTTACTTTCCCCTTCAACCATTTGACGTTTCAGTCATTTTAGCGAAGGGACAATTTGAATATCGTTAGGATAGGTGATACAAAGTACACCGGGTCATCTAGATAGTAAGTAAGAAATAAGTTTGGTGATAAGATAACTGTACAATAGAGATTGTAAACTTTCATTTTAATTGTCTTTAATATTATTATTCCACTATACTACTCAACTATTTTAATATTTCATCTTGTTTTACAAACGTAAATTAAATTAAGCCTAAAGTAACTACATTACATGCAGGTACGAAGCTCGCCGGGTGTACCAGTAGGTAATAAATAAGATAGGGGCGTTGATTGTGGCATGATTTTCTAAACTTAAAACTACATTTAACATCAGTATCACCTTTTTATTCTGTATAGAGAATGACCAGAATACACTGCTGTCAAATTGAAGTTTAGGTTTAGAGAATCATGTCAGAATCGACAACACTTAAGGTATATTTTTAAATTAGAACCTAAGATTTACGGTTTCGAATAACAGGATAACTAACATAACCAGTAGATATATTAATCACAAAACTTTTTGTAGCAGAAAAAGCTCCTTAGTTTAGAGAGATATGTTCCTATAACTAACAAGGTTTGCCTGTGCTCTACGGGTAGGGGAATGGGGTTAGAGTAGGCAATGCTATAACGTCTTTACATTGAGACACAGTACTACTTACATAAAGATCGAATTTACATAGAACATGGAGATACTCTCAACTTGACATTTACAAGGGGAGGTCCCAAGTAAAAAGGTTTTACGAATACTACAAAAGGAATGCAAACGATGACGTCTTTTGTAAATCCCCAAGTGGTGAAATAATTGTGTTGATCAGATGGCCTGGTTCTGAAAGAGGCCCTTGTTGTTTCTCGAACGCGAATAACACTTGAAACTTTACGAATCTCTTTTTTTATATGCTATAACGTTTTTCGGTCGCGACAGTTGCAAAACGATCTCACTGTTAGAAAAGGTAGGGACTTTCTGCTTTACAAACAAATATTGTCTTTACGCTATATTTACATGTCCTACGTTCCCGAACTCCAGATTTAATAAACATTTGACGTTCAGCATCTAGCTGATCCTAGGTTAAAACAAGGTTAAAACACTACTTTATTTATTGTGCGTAGGTAAGTGCTTACTAGTGTTGTAACCGAATCAGTTAGCTTTGATAATTATTTGAATTTTGTTTTGGAATTCATCTAAATTATTAGTACTAGAGTTTCCATTATACTTTATTGTTATATATATATATGGTTCATGTTTATCTTTGTAATGTACCTACGAACGCACTTAGCTCAGTTTAGCAAATTTATTACAGTTATCGTTAACGACTCGTTCTAAGAATTAAATATGAAATTTATTTTATATTCTCCGGAAAACGTATAGTGGTTGTTATACAGTGAAATGCCATTTCAGTGGAAAAAAGGCACTAAAATGTATCCCCCAAAACCTCCGGTTCACTTATATTCACCTTTATTTGGAGGATAACTCGAGTTGGTCGCGTTGTTAAAAAACTACATTTTTTCGTTGAAGTCGCTGGCGTCGCTGTCTATAGATTGACATTGCTTATTAATGCACGAACTATTTTCTTTCTCATGAGTAGAAAATATCATAAACCTAAAAACTTTTGTTTGAAATGAACCTTACGTGGTGCTTTACTATATTTTACATAAACAATTATTTAATTGAAAGTCTAAGTGTAGTGTATCGAGATACCTTTTCAACTAAATCATATTACGAAATAGACAAAATCGATGTAAAAAATGTAAAAAGAAACACACAATATAAGGCGAAATTAGGAAATCCGATAAAAATTAGCTTTGTCCTTACAGAAAATCTACTGTATTCTTCTAGATGAATATTTGAATATAATATTGGCCGCGCAATTGTTCCGTTATCATATAATATTGAACAGGGAGTATAAAAAACACGAAGGGTTATGATAAAACGTCGTCACAAAACCTCCATACATTAGCATTGCTCCATCGCCACCTGTGCGAAACAATTTCGAGTTTCAGGTTTTCTTATTGCCCCAAACCATTTATGTTGCAATCAAATGTATCCTTTCAAGACATTGGATGTGAAACAGTGGTCCAAAATAAATTAAGAGTGCCGTTTTGGTGCTGTTGTTATTGTAGCGGAAACCAAAAATATACTTATGGTCGCTCACAGATATTTTATTTATTGAAGCTTGCTATCGGTTGTTTTAAGGTAAAAAGAAATAAGGTTTCTTATACCATATTTGTTATATTTCATATTTAGTTAAGTATTGCTGTTACAAAAATATATTTTTATGCAATTTACTTTCTCATTAGGTATCCTTTTCAAATTATCTTTATTACTAGAAACCTTATTTATTATTACTAGAAACAATTTTTTTTTATTAAGAAATCTCTAAAATACAATCACGGGTACTTAATAATCGCTGCGATATGAATATTTCTTATGACTTTTTAAATAGCTATTCCTATTTAAATTGCATTTATATAGGATTTATGACATACTCGACCCACAATAGCGGTTTTTTATACAGTACTGGGCTAACCGTCCGATTTGTGCGTTTCTATAAAATATATTTTATGATGTACACAAACACATTCTGTAAACTGTTACCTGTTCTTTCGTGAAGTGTGTTTTTTTTAAACCTTCAAGCACATACACTTTAAATCTGGGTATAGTAAGAGTACCTACCTCATATTATAAAACCATTCCCTAGAAAAAGTATATTTTTGGAATACATGGTAGGTATATATATAATATCTTGTTATACAGAATCAAAAATGTCTTAATATTCTATAATAAAACATAAATTATGAAAATATCAAAATATGCTTCACCAGTCTGTAATAAAATTTTGCGTTTCAAGAACAATAAATCATAAGTAGATTAAATAAGAATAAAAAATAATTCAAAACTGATATAGGCATTCCTACCTAAGCAAGTCAAGTGAACTGCCACAGGAAAAGAAGTTACAGCCTAGAGAGAGAAATTCAATAGTTGTGATAACGACTCCTTTCAAATAGTATAACAATAAAAAAGTACTCAACAAAGCTTTTCATAAAATGATTTCAACAGAAAAATTCGCTATGAAGAATGTAAACACTCGCATGAATAAAGTAAGTACTTACGTGTAAGTACAACACTACGCACAGCAGTATTTAAATAAAATAAATAATTAAAGAACATAAGAAAATTCAAAATAAACTATTCAATCTAATTTAATACTAACATTGGAACTATCTAAGTATTTTTATAAAACTGGAAATAAAGACAACATCACTATTTCATTGTTTAAATTTGAAAATAATTGTTTCAACAATGAAAATGTAGAAAATCATCACGAACTTACTTTAATTCTTCGACTTCTTTTTTCAGACGTGCTACATCGGTTGCGTGCAAAGTTTTCAGTATTTCTATCTGTTCAGCCATTGCTCGCATTTCTTCCTTGATCTTCAATTCAGCTCCGTACACATTTAAAACAAGAACTAAAGTCATTATCAGAGTCATAAGTACACTTTTGTGGCACTTCATTTTGAGTGTGCCAAAAGTCCGGGAAAAAGTTCGCACGGAATGGTAGAGGCGGAAGCGTAGGCAACGTGCGCTTCGCTCGGTTACGCGGACAGGAATGGTCGCGCGGTGTCTAGCACCCCTTAAATATAGGGTGAAGATCAGCGCAGATGTGCTCAACAGTTGTCACGGACCCGCACAGCCAGCACCAAGCATGGTTGCAGCCGTGCTTTTTTTCTAAAGATTTATACAACATTTGTAATGCTTTATGTTAATACGGCTTGATAACGATATTTTAATTGATCAAAACAAAAGATGTTCCTTTTTAAATATCCATCGACCTCATTCGATATTTAAATAAGTCCGCTTGCACTAATTTTGTTAATCTCGATTTAACAAAAACTAGATTCAACCCATACAGAAATGTCAAATTGACGTTGTGACATTTTTCTATGGGATATCAAGTTTAAGTTGAATAGAGATTTAGCAAATTTGCTGCTATTGGGCCTTACTGTTATAAATGCTATCTTGTCGTATTTTTCAGAGTTATTTGTGATAGCTACTGCTATAACGAAAATAGTAGAAAGGAATTGATTTTTATGCTAGTTATTATTTACTTGCATGTAATAATAATAAAGATAATTATAATAAAAAAAGTGATACGTTGTCATATACTTGCAAAATGCGCATCTTTGGTTTTTTCAATCGTAATAGCTGTATTGCAAATATTAGCCATAGAAAGCCTTGTCATGTGTGGAGTCCGAATGCACTTCGGTATATTTCCATACGCTTATTAATAAGAACATGTTAAAAATATGTTTTTAATCGACAGAATCCTCTACTGTGTACTTTGTCCAAATCCAATCCAAATTTCAGTATCTGTCATACCTACTCAAATCAAATTTAAGAATACTTATCAACAAACAATCTTTCCGGAAGATGCGGGAACGAATCCCGTCTGGAATCTGGACCGAGTGGATTCTATTCTAGTAAAAGTTATCTTTAGATTTATAGATGTAGCAGTTAATAGCTGTAAATTAAAATATAATAAATCCACAATCTTTCTTTCTGTAAATTTTATAAGCTGAACAAAATTGTTGAAATGATGAGTTCAAAGAAAACTCCTTCATTTTATAGAATCTACAAGGTATATTTGATTTTTACTCTTAACAGAGCTAAGTACCTACCCACAGATTCATAGAAAACTATATATGTAATAAGCTAGAATTACCTAGGGATCTGACAAACTGAAGAAATGGACACTGAAATTATTAAGACATAAACAATTGATTGTTTTGACGAAGATGTTTGATTAAAGCAATCTTTCTCGAAAACGAATACTAGAATCCTAGCGTCATAAATAAACTTAACATGTACTTTAGTACATGGATACATGGAACCCATGGACCATAAATATATTATACTACTAGCTGACCCGGCGTACTTCGCACCGCTTACAATAATTTGGAAGAAATGAAAGCTATCCATTCGACAGGAACACAGCTTTTACCATAGTTAGCAGCAAGTTAGCAATAGGGAATATGCATGATTTTTTATTTTTTTACTACTTTATCGAGTATAAAAAATAAAAAAAAAATCAACATCGAAAAAATTGTAGTGTCTAAATTTAAAAAAAAAATACTTTGCACGATTGAACGCTTGGATGTGATGACACTATACATTAAACCTACAAAAATTGTGTAAATGTTGAAGTAGCTGATGTCACGCTATCATCGTAGCCATATAATAATACACACTTTTAGTAGAATCAGGTTAACTTAATAAAATATTTCAGTTCACACAAACGTTTTCGAATGACCAAAAAAGTAATATATTACTAACTATTATAAATAAATGTAATGTAAGAATTCAAAGAAACAACAAAGCAAGGAAACCATCATACAACAGTTAAAAACCTATATTCAATGCAATACTTTTATAAAAAGGCCATAACAAAATTCGGTTGCCGTTCCCCGTTAATTATTTAAAACCACCTGCCAAATGGCTCCAGAAAAGTGTGTTGTTGTAGTGGATCGAGCAAGTTAACAGCGATCGATTGGTGGATAAATGATCATTCATAAATTCTCTTATATTTAAATAAAATAAGACGAAATGCGTTTGTGATTGTTAGTGACACCTACAAGTGCTGAATGGTGTTCTCAAAAATTTTGATATACTTGGAAGAGGAATTTAAAGTTAGACTTTTGTCAAATAAGTATAATTGAGAACACGAAATATAACAAATATGACATTTTATTACGACTCAAGTAAACGTCAGGGAAGTTGTTTTGAACAGGAACCCTATTTTTACCCGGCTGCGCAATGTAAGAGCGCGAAGCGCGACGCGCAGACAGGGTAATGTGTTTAACAGTCTATATATGTTTACCCGGCTGCGCAATGTAAGAGCGCGAAGCGCGACGCGCAGACAGGGTAATGTGTTTAACAGTCTATATATGTATGTTTGTTCCTTTGTGGCACACTAGAGACCAAACGCCTGGACCGATTTTGATGATTCATACATCAATCGATTCGTCTCAATCATAGGAGTGCTACTAAAGATATGATAGTAATCAAAATTCAATATGGGCAAAATTAGGCGCCATATTGTGACGAAGTAAAAAAAATAAGTTGACAAAATATGTCGAGTGGGGTATCACTGTCTAGATAATCAAAAATCATATTTAGGTTCCTAACACCATTTTTCATTTTATGTGATTGTTTAGGATCTACAATGCTTTAAAGTTGTATATTAACCACTTACGCTTTTAATTTCAATCTTACGTTTATATGGATCTTTGTTACTCTTTCACCTAAAAATACTGAATGGATTTTAATGAAACTTAACAGTAATATAGCACATATATGATTACATATATAATAATTTATGTAGTTATTGAGTGAATTGGCCAATATATAACAATAAGTGTCACATAAGACGGAAAAAAAATCTCCCATCTGCGAGCCATTTTGGCCTGCACTGCAAAAACAATAAAAGTTATATGAATGTTATGTAGAGTAAAACTGTATCTCTTAAATAGTTCTAAAAAAAAGTCCGTGACACCATATATCTATTTTTAATGTGTAAGTCATTACCGCTAAAATAGTGAATCAAAACTAAAATATTATTTGATATCTATTTCCAAAATGCACATTTTGTATTAACAAATCATTTTTTATCAAAACAAATACTTTTATCGCTTTTGATATTTAAAGACGATAAACTTTGCTTTTTACACTATGTCATTTCGACAAATATTTAAAAAGTTACAACGATGACAAAGTGATAGCGCGGTGTACTGTGTAAAAGAAAAAAAAATGGGTTATTCATTCGCAGTATCTGTAGTGCAATTCTGTAAAACCCATAAACTCATCTCACTGTGTGAGTCGGATCCGCTTTTGATTCTCTATAGGTTTCGCTTCACGGAATTTTCGCATTCTGTAACCAATTGTACAAGCAAGTGAAGCGAGATGTCATTTATATCCTGAGTGTTACCATTTTAAAAGTTTTTAGTACATCGAGACATATCGACTTAGTTATTATGCGTGAAAAAAGCACGTAAATTTATTCTTTAGATATATTTGTAGATATGAGGCTGAAGTCTAAAGTTTTAATGAATGTAAACTTAAAATAGTCTTATTTTTAAAGTTTGGTAACTTGGCCGAATGAGGGCTTACTCTATGCGCATCTCTGTAATCGAGTGAGAATCGACGCTAGCGCTACTAAGTGAAAGTGGCGGTTTAGTAAACTATCACAGGTGAGACTGTAACATGCCTAAATGGCTTTGTAGCATTTAACATTCTATTAATACGTACTTGGAGCACTATATTCGGAAATATTCACAAGTACAAAATACAATATGTACGAATCAAATTTTCTCTTATTCTCTTTTTACAATGACACTTAAAAATCAATCTGAAAATATATAAAAAGAACATAAATCAAAAAAGAATTAAAAGAACTTATTTTCTAATGTGCCAGTGCCTGCGAGCGAAATGTCCATAGACACTGGCTGTATTGCGACATGGACCAACGTTTGTGCGGTGGAAATAAAATAATCAAATTTTATGCCAGTCAAATTAATGGTGGCTTTTCAAACAAGTGGTTAACATAGTCTTACAAAAATAAAAACTACTGTAATTTACGAATACTTACAACATTTCGAAGAAATTAGTGCCCTTTTCCTTCTTGTAAGATTAATGGGCGGTCTTGAGATCTATAATGTTTTCTACTTTACATGGTAAAATTATTTTAAAAAAGTATTTTAGATAATACACGAACAATTTTTAAAACCAAGAATAAAAACACAGACCACAGATTACAAGATTTTTTACAGTAGAGATTATCACATAACGCAAAGGCAATGCGCCGTTCGGCCAAGTTATCAAACTTTAAAAATAAGACAATTTTAAGTTTAAATTCAGTAAAACTTTAGACCTAGGCGTCGTATCTACAAATTTATCTAGAGAATCAATTTAAGTGCATAGAGCAACACGGCCGAAGCGGCCAGGAGGGAAGTAGGCATTCACAGCTTTTCCCTCTGCCGATTTTCCCCCGCAACAGGCCCAGCTCACGAACAAAACTAGTTGCGCTCGGATATTTCTCTAAACTGAATCAAGTCACGTGAGTGTATGTTAGGAGATCAAAAATGCCAAAATGTTCTGTAATTTGTTAAACATATATGGAACATAAAACTAATAAAAGGATGGTGTTATATTTCACATATAAGTAGAATTATTAACATAGTGCTGTCGATTCTGGCATGATTCTCTAAACTTAAGCTAAATTTATCATCAGAGTATCCTTTTCATTTTGTATAGATAATGACAAGGAAACACTATTGTCAAATTAAGGTTTAGGTTTAAAGAATCATCCAAGAATCGATTCTAGTATCTATCTATTAAACTTTTAACAGAATGGCACTCCGCGCACTTGGGGCATCGTTCAAAACCTACGGCTATGAGTGGAACTTTTTACCAACGTTTAATGTTGACATAAAATCAACGATATTAAATACCCTAGATAC